AGATTCCCTTGGGGGTCTTTCGTAAGAGGTTGTTCGATCAGATACAGAAGTGTCTGGGCTCAAAATGGTTTGAAGGAGGAAATACATATTCGGACTCTCGGGCACGTGACGAGTCGAGACGGCCTTGTTTCGATGGGAAGCCTCTTTCCCATCTTGAAAAATAAATGTAGTACATTAAACATAAGTGAGACAAAACAGAAAAAGCCCATCCCATAAGAATTGAAGTAACTCCAAAACTCACAAAGATTGTTTGAAGGAAGGTTTGGTCGTTGACCTTCATTTGAAGGCAGAGGATTTGGCTCCCAGTTCCTATTTATGAATCTGGAGTCCAAGAAACCAAGGGAAGCAGGTCCAGTCTCTCGATATGATGCCGATGAATTATTATGAAAGTGAGGGACTCCAAAATTGGAAGGATTGTTAGTAGATGCCTGCAACAATCCTGCATCAATGCGAACAGGGGTATTGCCTTGATGCCATGTTTGAGTTGGAGGAAATTGCTGAAGGTTTACAGATTGTCTGGAGTCAACAGCATCCATCCCACAATTTGCATATGATGTCCCACGATAATATGAACTGACATGAACAGGAGGCACAGATGACTGAAAGCCTCTGTCATCAGATCTCAATTGTGAAGAAGAGACAAGAGAGGGACAGAAGAAATCAGTTGCTGCCCTCCCATTCACATGTGTGGCAGCATTTGACTTAGGTTGATGATCTTGATATCCAACAAACTGGATCGGGTCACCAGGTTCCATCTGCCTTGATCTGTATCTCGCAGAGTGACCAGAAGTGAGACTCTTATGTTTCATACCATCAGGTGGAGGTCTCTGGAAACCCTCTTCTGGATGAGCTGCAGGATTAGGAGGCAATCCTACCTTCATCCATGAATCGTCTGGCCTCGTGTTCCCACCCCGATCATCATATGTCACACTTGGATTGCCTCTGCTTACAAATGTTGGGAGTTGAGAAGCACCACTTGATTCCTCAGTACAAAATAGGTGAGATGTATTGAAGATAGATCTGTCATGGTTTTCATTAAACAATGGAGCTGATGGAAATTCCTCTGATGACAGCAGTTCTCTGGGCTGGACATTCATCAACACAAATCTAGTGTTTCCCCGAGGAGAATGGTACCGATTTGATTCAGCTGTGAGATTCAAGTATGGTTGTTGAGGATTTGCAGGTCCAACATCCATTGAAGAATATGAGAACAAACTGCTGCTGGAAGCAGGCTGTGGATTTTGCCTTGGCTCCAGGGGAACATCATAATAAGATGTTATCAAGTGATTGCCAGCAAAAGGATTCATGCCTGGCAGAACCCCAAGGAGCCCCTCAGGGCATGATTCCTGCTGCTGAGATCGTGGATGCTGCGATCGTCCTTGAGGGTACTGTGTTGGAATGTGTTGCAGCATTGTCTCACTTGTGGTATTGGTCAACAGGTGATCAGAGCTTTCACAATTATCAGGATTTACAGAGGAAGCTTGAAATGACCTTGTTTCTTTGCACTTACGATTTTTGGCATTTCTTGCTGCATGACGTGTCTGATTGTCATGCTGTGATGGTGCTGGGGCAATGCTGAGGCCAACTATGTTACTGGAGGGTTCAAGGGGAACAGACGGCACAGGTCGGCTAACTGTCACAACAGGATTCTCCCGATGGATTTTCACATCACCATCTGATGGCATTATGGCATTTCGAGGCTGTCTGAAGGAAGTGGGCCTGTGCACACCCCTGTGGAACGTGAATGTGGACAAACAAGAGTATGCAGCTGTGTGGTAGTTCAGTGGAGTGGTAGGGGGATCTCTCCCAGATGATGGGGAAGGCACCTCTTTCATCAGCAGCTGCAACACATCTTGAAGCATGCTGAAAATCGATGCATTCATAAAGCTCAATCTTATAGAATATAGATATTCCATCAGTGAGGAAGCCTAAATTACCCACCATTGATTGCAGTTTTCCTTAATTTCCTCAATGAGCTTTTTGGTCAGTTGACCTGAGGAATAAAAAAATCATACTGATCACTTTCAAAATGAAAACTCATATATGTTGCAAACACAAGAATGTAAGCCATACCATCATCTGCTTCTGGGATGTCAAGATAGTTGTAATATCTCTTGATTCTCTCCATAAAATCCTTTGGGATCTGATCCTATCAACAATCACACAATAGTTCATCAGGGATTAAAAATGGAATTAACAGAAATGAAGACCCATAAAATTATTGGAATAAGAGACAAGGCCATAGTGGACGGTGTGAATCATTACCACAAAGCATGGTTTCTTCTGTCTCTTGGGCGATAAACTTCTCCCTCTTCGCCTAGGAGATGCTGGGGAGTCAGCATATCTCTTTGATGGTAGCTTTGCCAGCATCATTTGTGGAGCAGATGGCTTTGGGTCATCAGGATCACTGCAATTCAATTCCTGGAGAGTCCCCATTTCACTTCGATGAGCAGCATTCAAAACCTTTATCATGTTGCTTGCAGCTTTGTTCAGGATCTCTTTGGATGGTACATATCCTGCAATGATGATAAAGGTGCAATGGAGCTTATCAAGTATGAATTCTCTATATTCTGGTCATACAGGAAAAAGATCTCACTCTCTGGAAAGGAAGATACCCTTCCCTTTGTAGAGCTGAAAGGTCTCGTCTGCAATGCGGATAAAAAATTACAGGTTGGCATTCAAATACACTCAGTATAGAAGACAAGGAAAAAAAGGGAATGAATAGCAAATTTTCTCACAGTAAGTCTTCCACTGGTGATATTTGGCATATCCCTCCTATGCTTTTTTTTGTGCAACTAGACAGAGATGAGATACAGAAAGAGAATAGAGAGAGGGAGAAAGAAAAGTGTTATTATGTGATGAAGAAATCAACAGTTATAGATGAAAAAGTAAGACTCACATCTCTATCATCATGACACTTTTCTAGAATGCTCCTCATAGATGTTGATCCAGCTAGATGAGCCTCCACTGAGTCCTATGCAAAAGTGTGGGTGGGTACATCTTTCAGAACATTGGTGATTTACAATTGTAAAGAATGCATGCAGAAATATGCAAGAACTCACATTGTTCTTTCTGTCTAAAGATTTACTTGTTGGCTTCCGCTTTCGTAGTTTCTTCTTCCGCTGATGTCCAGAGCTTTCACGTTCTCTTGATATCCTGTGAGATGGCATTTTGCAGGAAATGCTTCTTGTCTAAGGAATTTTTATCACTTCCACAGTGCATTGTGAATTTGAGTATGGATATACTTTGATATCCACAAACTTCATGCTTTCTTTTTTTTTGAAAGGATAGGAAAGGCTAATGCAGTCTTAGAAGTCCCTAACTACCGAACCAAGAAGAGAGAAATGACAAGAACAGCAATAAAGTTCTGGGAACCAAATTAAGCAAAATGAATTCAACAACATTCAAGGCTTACTGCATTTATACTATGATATATGTCAAGCAATGATTCTAACATTGGACTTAATACCACATGAAATAAATCTCTTCCATTCCCTGTAAAATAGTTTCTGTCCACGGGCATTAAGGCTTGAAGCAATGTTTCTCACTGCCTTGATTAAATTATATCTTCAGAGAGGTTGAATTGAAGTGCAAGTGACAAAGGAACATACCATCACCATACATATCATACAACAACAGGGGAATGCAAGCAAGAGGGGATTGAGAATAACAGCAGGAAAGAAACAATAAATCCCATAGATAGACATGCAAGTATGTCATCATGCATCTCTAACTGATGCAGGACAGGGAGGCCAAGTAAAACTAATGTGACAATAGTTGAACTTTTGATGACACCTTCACCTTCCCAGGCATTCCATTGTCAAAAAATTGCCCTGGTTTTGGAAAGAGGTGCAAATACATACACTTATGAGGGTGGGATTTTCATGCTGCAGCGCATTATTTCCATTAGCTAATTTCCATGCTCATAAGGTCCCTAAACTGAAAAAGAATTAATTTGGAATTGTTGCATGGTATAATAATATACTTTAAGTTTACACAGTCTCAAGAAAATTTGCCTAATACAAACATTAAGCCTACATGAGGAAAAGGAAGAAATAATATGCAGAGGGAGAGCAGAGGGAAGCAGCCCAAAAGCACATGGCAGATGGGAGAAATTTTAATTCTACAATTTGCTTGCCTACTTCATGGGAAACCTTGGGCTACTGCATGAAATGACATGAAAAGATTAAAACTTCTGTTTCCAATCACAATTTCATTATTTTGTAGTGATGCTAAGGAGAAAGATCCCACAGAACTTACAATACGAGTCAGATAACATTTATGACAAGTGAAAAGAAACCTTAATCAAGCAGGCATAGTGAGTGCCACCTTGCATATTCAGATTTTTTTCATGAAATAGACCATAACTGCTCACAGAAAAAAATGTAAAAAAGCTTTGTATGTCCAACATGAACAAAATGTATCAGAAAATCTAATATACCTTGTAGGGATTGTTGCAGTAATTATGAAAAATAAACTGATGACTGCATGTAACCACTTAATATGATCATTCTGCATGGGTTCATATTTACCCAAACAAGTTTCAAAATTCAACCTTTTCAATGATGATTATGAAACATATTTGAAGACTATGTCACTTTCATTCTTAAGTGCATGTGTGTATCATGATGAAAATGCAAAATGCAGGACCAGAGATCAATCATTTTCCTGATTTGCACCTTGTTCCATTGGCACAAGAGGAAATTGATGCTCATAAGCTTGGTTTCTTTATTAACTTAATAAATTCTTCCCAATCTGTACAGGTTCAATTAATTTTATGAGCAAAACTTGAAAGACTATTTCAAGCTGATTCCTTACAGCATAGATGTCTTATATTTATTAAATTCTTGCATCTTGAAAAATAGATTATAATTTAAAAAAACCAGTCTGGTTATGGGATAGGGATGCAATCATATCCAAAGGGCTAAGCAAGAGGTTGCAAGGGATGGCCAGCTGGAAATGAAAAGCCAGCTCAGTCTATAAATATGGAGTTTCCTTTAATAAAAATTCCTGGGCCTATATGTAAAGGAATGCCAAAACAACTCAGGTGGATCACATTAAATATCAAATGCACCTCACAGAACATGGCTTGTAGACATTCACAATTCCTTCAAAAGGAATCCCAAGGGTTTCAGGGTTTTGAAATTCATGAATCCTCAAAAACAAATCCTTTGGACCTCAGGTCTTTTCGGGCTCTATCAATGTCCTATGGAAGAGAAAAAACACTTCATAAGTCCATTGCCCTGAAATTTCATGCCTTATATTCCCTATCAAAATAGTGGATTACATAAAACTAGAAAAAAAATGCAAAAAAGCCACATGAGGCATATAAATCTCCCTGATATAAATCAGGGTTCTTTGTAGATCACACTGTAATACATAATAATCAAAGGGATTCTCTCCAATTCCACACCAATAGACACATCTGTGTTCTAAGTGTTCCTAACTGAAACACATTGGAGGGTGGGCTCTAAATTTAGGAATAAACCCCAGTCCTCATCCAGAACCAAGCTCACTGCCTTTCAAGCCTTAACATTGCTATTTTTAACAATCCTCCCCTTTTAAAACAAATAGAGACTGCTTGTGTAATTATTCAGATGTCTATGAGTCTGTCATCACAGGCTTCTGTCAACATTTGTACTTTTGGGAATACTGCTACTTCAAATTTTTCTCTATTTCCATAGCATGTATACATTTGGTAAAATTGACAACTAATTTGTTTTTTTAAGAACTTTCCTCCAGTACTTGGGGAATAAGGGAATGGATGGTGGTCTGTCCTTTGCCTCAACCATTCTCATCTATACCATCTCCTGGCATGCAGTTCTATTCTCCCCCTATCTCCCTTGCTAGTCATATGCCTATGACTACCAAGAAAAGGTAGTTGGGATTACCAAACCAGGCCTTGCCCATCTTGCTAGGTTTATTGCCCTAGTTTCTAAAAATTTTAAATTGGATACCTACAGAAGAACCTTGTCCTTCAGTAAGCTCAATTTACAAATAGCAATAACTTCAAGAAAACAGTAACTATTTACAGACTTCATATGAACTCTCCAGAAAGACTGATGACTAAAGGTTTTCTTGATCATTTCCTTGAATCAAAAGAATCTAATGATATTCACTTGAACCCATTCAAACCCTAGAATACCTTTAAAATGTCAGTATGTCTCACAAAATCAACATAACCTAGGCACCTTTCAAATTGTATGGAACTTGACAACTTTAATTGTTACAGGTCATTCACATGGTAAATCTGAAAAATTAAAAATCCCTTTAGGAAAAGTCATGATCATTCCAAGGAGCAAAAAAAAGCACCCAAAGGAAAAAACTGTATGACCAGGAAACCTGTGTTTTGACAAACATGAACCTTGATAACTGAATGAATTGTCTCACTGAAGACAATGAACTGTCACAAAGCACCCTTCCACATAAATTGTGTCTTCTTAAAATAGTAGTTTGACTCAACCTTAACAGAAAATGGAGGTTACCACCCTTCTTTGGATTCATCTTCCCAGTATACTTTATGGCAGAGAACATTCAGAGATCCATAATGGGGGTTTAAACCTGCCCCCCCCCCNTCGAACTTGCATGGATTCCTCATCCGAATTCCCACGATGAAAAATTACAACAAGGTTTTCGAAGCTCCTACTTCGCCATTACTCGAGTGGAGCATTATGAAGAAAAAAATTCATACGATTGCATTTTCATATCACGAGCGAAGAAAACTTGATAATGCCACGTTCATGGCAAGTTTTCTTTCGCTGGTAAATTTTTTTCTGGGAGCCAGTTCTTCAAAGTCTTGTTTCAGTTTTAAAACCGTTGGAAATAAAATCAGTTGCACTAAACTAGTTTTTTTTTTTAAACGTTTTTTAAATGAAAGAATCGGGTCTCAAAAACGACAACTAAATGAAGCTGCAATCAAACGAGTACGCGCGCTATTTAGTTCAGCTTAAGATCGCTTCGAGAAGCTCTCTGCTTAGGAAATTTGGGGAAATTTTTTTTTTCCCCCACTTCCGTCACGCGAAAAATTGAAATCATGGGCAAGTTTTCCTTCACATTCCTAGACCTTTGGCGGTAATTTTTGCGCTGAATATTTTTGCACTGTTTCAATGACGACCAGAACCATTACCATTACCATTTACCATTGGTAAAGCATGTAACAGTTTTTATTTATTTAATATTTTTTTTATTTGTAATTCTTGCATTACACAGAATGAATCTGCGGGTTTCTCTTGGGTCATACTTCGAATGTCCATCACGTGACATCACATGAGACCAAAGGACCAAATTTGAAATGAACCTCCGAATTCTCGCAGTTCAAAGCCCTCCAATGACATTTTAACAGATTCCCAGCTCTCTCTCTCCGAGATCAACAATTTCATTACGTAAGCGTCGCGCATCTGTGCAGGAACAGTTGGCACCCACGCCGTTTGCAGCTCCCGATCTGCAATACCGAATAACCCAATCGCCTTGCTTTCCCTTCGAGAAATGCACTCCATCCAAAGCTGGAGAGCGTGGAGAAGCAATTCCAGCCGGGGAGACAGTCCTCCTATCTCGACCGGCCTACGACATCCCTGGTCGCCTTTGACCGGCCTACGACATCCCTGGTCGCCTTTGACCGGCCTTCTTCCCCTGCACCCACGAGGAAGGGACGAGAGAAATGCTCGTGCAAACACACGACGAACTCGAGTCAACAATCTGCAGAGAGGCTTTCGACGTTTTTCCCAAAATCCAGTGGACCGTGACGGTGGAAATGAACTCGGATTCTGACAAAATGAGAGTAGGGGAAAGTTGTGGGAGATTCCTTCTCGTCCAAAAGGAATCAAAACTGCAAAGTCACCGTCCGTGACTGCAAAATATGCAAACCGTAATTGCAAGAGATTTTCACCCTCAAGTGCCAGGATGCCAGGGTTGCAGAATTCGGAACTCGCAACCCTGTAAAATCAGTTCCTCGACCACACTTATTTTCACGGTCATAATCCCGAACTAAAGGGCATCCTTTACGCATTTTCATCCTCGGATCCAAGGACGCGAGGTTGAAAGTTTTAAATTGAAAGCTTAATGGTTTTCAATTCACTCGTAATTTAATTCTCTTCCTTCCCTGCACTGGCTCTCATGTATTTTCAATTGTTGAATATGATGCCGTACTCACCTTCGCTAGATTTTGGTCCTTCGGAGAGCAAGGATGTACCTGGCAAGGCTAGAATCTCATTAACTTCCCGGGAGGGGTGGGGGTTTTAGCTGATGGGTTCAGACCAGAGTTAGGGGGGTTTCACCCCCCCCCCCCCCCCCCCCCCCCCCTCCATTATGAAAAATGTCAACTCTCATTCTATTTGTGTTTCCCCCCCCCCAAGTTACAGGTTATCCTAGATCAGGGGTCTCAAACTTGTTTTGCTGTGCAGGTCACATTACCAAGATTAGACCTCTCTGTGGGTCAAAGTGTAAATTCAGAGAGTGAAAATCTACCACAACCTTATATTGTGTGCATTGGGCCTAAAACGTTTCTCTCAATGTATACAAGCCACATTGAGACATTGAGAGCATTTGTGAGTTGCATGCAGCCTGCAGGCTGGGAGTTTGAGACCCCTGTCCTAGATGGCTGGTTCATTGAGCACAATAATCTGCTGCATGGAACTGAAATTACATTCATGCACAGATAAATAAGTCTTTCTATTGAATATAGACCTGAATAAGGTATAGCCATTCAATCTAGTTTGATATGCAACCAGCCACATCAAACTTTGAAAGCACATTCATGCACATGCAACAAAGTAGCTAACTTTAATGCTTTTTAACCAACATCAAGTGTAATTTTGCTTCCTGTATACAAGTGTTTTAAATAGAAGAAAGCAGCAAAAGGGCATTAATTTTTCTAAATTCATTTCTGCCAAAGAAGAGAATGATTCATACATTAATTCATAAGCCAAAAACCAAGCTACAGTCAGATTAGCAGAGCTCCTCACCTTTTTGACCATTATAAAACCAGTATTTCTAGCCATGGAGAAGGCTTTCTATTATCCACATCCAAGAAAATCTAAAAAATACATTTTCCGATTCTATTCTTTAAGAATGAGGACAGTAGCAGCTTTCTTTTCTCAATTGTGCACCCACACAAGAGGTCGCTACATGTTGCATTGTGGGACTGGATAGTGTCTCATTGATCAACCTATGAGAGCATCTGTTCAGGAAACCCAAGTTCCATACCAGCACAGCACCCAGTTTTAATGCACCAATTCTAACAGAATCAAAGTGAAAGCAGACCCCAGATATGTCTGGCATTCTATATGAAGGACACATGTTCTATATGGAGGTGCATCTCTGTACTCCATCCTACATATAGGACACCAGGCATATCTGGGTTAACATGCCAACTACTACATGGGATGCCAACATGCTCGTATATTCTCTGGGACATAAATGGCTTGTGGCAGTTAATGTGTTGAAGAGACAGAGTCATGAAGGCTACCTTTATCCAGTGTTGACAATGTTATAGTAAGTATCAACAATCTTCAACAAGGTTTAAAGGTGAATAATCCTTCATCTCAGACAAACTCTTCCATAATGATTTCTGAACTATTTCACTTTCATGGCAGCAGCAAAAATACACTATAAAAAATGCAAGGTGTTATAAACATGATGCAATAAACATGATAGATCAAATAGGGAGACCTGGATAGTCTCAATCATGAAATTATGTGATAAGTATATTTAAAAGAACAAGACTTTTATGTTTGCTACTAAAGGAGCAGATATACAGCTACATAAATACTAGTATATTGGGCCCAAATTCACTCACATCATAGAGCTGCTTTGCTGCAAGTGGACAGTCCTTGAAGGTTAGCACCCGATGAATAAGGACACCTAGCACAATCAACTGAAAAAATAACAAAAGATTGTGCCAGTCAGAAGCCAAAATATTGCTTTTTTGGACTTTATACAAGAGTTTTCCAAATATTTGCCAGAACATCCATTTGACAAAAATTCATTTTAAAAAAGTATGATCTTAGATTTGCTCTCTAATAAAACTTTCCCATAAGGATATCTATCATTTTTACAACTTTCTATTTATTTATTTATTTATCTTTACAGATATTTCAAATTGACTAATTTCATTCTAAAAGCACGAGACCACATTCATTTTACATGAAACTTTGCAAAGATTAGGCCTAGGTCTAACTCATTACATTGACTTTTGCTTGGATATGTGCAGGATCTACATTATCACATAACCATCAATTCCAGAAGACTTCAATGATTCACTCACAGCAAGTAAGACTGCAAAATAGATGGGTAACATGAGGGCATGGAAGGGATTGTCTCTGGCCCAGGTGCCTCCCAGTCGCCCAGAAATCAAAAGGCCCCAGAAGACTCCAAAGACTTGAGAAATAAGAAGGTACTCCAGCATTTTGTTCGCCATAGCTGCTAATTGAAGCAATAATTATTACATGGAATTGTTAAGGCAGAAACGTGCATACTCCATGTGGTCAAGCTTTGCTATGAGACTCTCGCCTGTGTTCAGGTGGTTCTGTGCACCAATAATGAGAAGAATCGGAGATTTGACGCAACGTGAGGTCTCCCGTTTGTCCTCTGTATTATTGGACGATATCGCCGGCACCACGAGCTACCACGTGTTCTGTTTTCAAGCAGGTAAAATGGACAATGTGAGGCTCATCACAGGTCTACTCGATGCTAATCAGCATTTATAATTCAATACTTTCGAGAAAAGACTCAAGAGTCACACTATAGAGCACAGGACAGCTCATAACTTTATAAATTCATGGAAACAGTACGGAACCATGATAGGACGATGGCGGTAGCTACTGCCATCTATTAGCAAGAACGGGGACTTTTCCCGTTCTCGTCAGTCCAGCATGGCTGCCCTGTGAGTGAGGTCCTCGTCCTCCTCCGTCTCATCTGCAGCGATGAGCTGGTCCCTTCCACCTGCTTCTTCTGTGCCAAAACACGCCTAGCCTCTACATCATAGGCAGCAGCATGGATAGCAAGGACTACGACCTGATCCGAAACCAGACTCTGCTCTTTTTCCTGGACCATCTGATGACGAAGGGACAATCTCGGACTCTGCACGACTTGAGCTGTCAATTCGGGACGAAGGGCTTCACCCGGGAGATGAGACAGATCGCCGGCGGCTCACAGGCAGGCCTGCGAAAGTTTCTTTCCCAGTATCCATCACTTTTCACCCTCGACGGGGATAACGTGTCTGTGACGTGTTACGTGAATGGCGTGGTGAATGCCAACGACCCGGCTGCGAAATACCGTGGTAAACGAGATTACGTGACGGAAGCAGTGGATTATTTCAAGGGGAAGTTACGGCAGTATGGCCCCGAGACAGAAGTTCCCATCAAAACCTTGCTGGGCCATCGTTCCCAGGCATCACCTGAGATCCGCCACATATCAGGTCAACACATGAAAGAGTTCAAGGATTTCCTCGCCAGGTATTCCGAAGTCTTCGTCGTGAAGGAGGACACCGTGATACTGAGAAAAGAGGCGCTGGAAGTCCCAACCCTCCATAGCCTGGAAACGGTAGAAATCGACCCCGCGTTCACCAAGCAGATCCTCGACACCCTCCACGACGAACTCGCCGCCAACGGCCCGACAGTAGTCGAGCATCTTCTCGTCGTGCTCGAAGAGCGTCTCCCCCACGAGACCCTATCGAAGACGTTCAAGACCCCGCAAGACGTGGAGACCTTCCTCCGCATGCACACTGACGTCTTCCACCTCCAGTCCCACATGGTGTTCCTCGCCCGGAAGCCGACGGCGACCGTCGAGTCCCCGCGGAAGAAGCCGGTCCGATCGCCCCCGCAGATCGAGTCGCCTCTACCGATTTCGCCTTCGAAACAGAAGCCTTTGGAGCAGCAGTCTTTCAAGCAGCGTTTCAGCTCTGTTCTGATGAAGACTCTGTCGGAGAACGCGTGCTCGGCGACCCCCCGCCGCCCCCTCTACAACTGTGATCCCAACGCCTCCCACATCGGTGATGCCTCTGTGATGAAAGCCCTCAAGTCCCTGAAAGTCATCGTCTGCGTGAAAGACTGCCGAGCCGCCGTGGACGAGCTGAAGAGCCTGGACCCCTGCGTCGTGTCTCTGGACGGGGAAGGCATCAATCTAGGTCCCAACGGCCCCATCACTCTTCTCCAGATCGGGACTCCCAACGGGCAGATCTTCATTTTTGACGTCATGGTCTGCCCCGAGATGATGACCGAGGGAAACCTGGCAATCATCCTCGAATCAGAAGACATCGTCAAGGTCTCGTATCGTCTGCCCTTCCCTTCCCCCTCTGCGATGAGAAAGGTCTCACGCGTCACACCCGAAAACGAAAAAAAAAATCCCCCCGACGCGAATTGCATTCCTCGATAACCCGTCTTTATCTAGCGATGATAACGCAATTTGCCGTCATCCGGAAAGGAAATGCACCTGGGGCAAGCGGCCACTTTTTCCTCATTGTTGTCTAACATTCGGGTTCACTGCTAATGTTGTTGTTAGATCCATGATCGACAGACCGTGACTCGTTCGATACGAAGGGGAGACGAGAGAGAGAAGAAAGAAAAGCATAAATTCCCATATGATTTTTTTTTCCCTCGATCTCTCAGCGTGAAACAACGAGATAGCATTTCCCATGGCCGTGAAAAATTCCCTCCAGGCCTTTCAAGGTGTGTTACGAAGTGGAAGACACTTCTTTGGACTTTCTCCGGAACTTGCGCACTTGTTTACCCGCCCTCCCACGTGAATGATGACTTCGCAAGTCGTAAAAAAAAAAAAAAAAGTGACGAGGTCATGATTGCGTGCGGTGGGCGCATGCCTTTTCCTAATTAGCGTTCTCATGCCTTCCCCTAATTACCCCCTTTATTCCTTTTTTTTTCTTCTTTGGTTTCTCAGGTGATGCACGATTGCCGGAACGACAGTGCCGCACTTCACTGGCAGTTTGGGATTTCCCTGAGGAACGTCTTCGATACGCAGGTGAGTCGTCGTGGATTTCCGCAAAATCGACATCGATCCCGATTCGAGCCATTTCCCGTAACGGGACTCCGCGGCGGTCGCCACTGAATGTGAGCCCCGTGAGAGATTCCGGGAATCTTGTTTATGGAATCGTGTTCCTCTCGTTCCACTTCCTCCCGCCGGTGAGAACGCGGCACAGAGGGCCAGGTGTAAGATAACATTTACCTGCCCCGCTGACGTCATACTCGCGTCGTGGCCCGAAACGATGCGGGAAGAGAAACTGGTTACGGGGAGTTCCTTCCCCCCGCCCCGCCCCGCCCCGGACATACCGCCGCGATGGGAAAGGGGAGCACGGATAGCGTGAGCCAGATTCCTTCTGCTCCGCCGCCGCCGAGACATTCCAGGTTAACTCCATGCAGCTGCATGCCGATCGGCTCTTTCTCCGGTCGTCGTTAACGTGGAGGACGCCGATTCTTCTCGTTCCTCCGTTGGTTACGTGCCAGCGATCCAAGTCGCACGGAACGCGAGAGGATGAGAATAGAACGTACGGGCGAACCGGCGATGGTGATTTCCATCCATCACCGTGGGCTGCCCCGCACAGACGCGGGGCGTCGGACATTTGCATGCAATGACGCGGTCGGAGCGGTCCCGAGAACATAGGGGCCTCGGGGGGGTCTGGTAAAAGTCTGGCTTGACAACCGGCGTTCCATTTTCGCTCCCTCCTTCGGAATGGGTGTGAACGTTAATCTTAATTTGTATTCTGTGGGTCATAAGTGTAGCGGGGATGGAAAAAGTGGGGGGGGAATTCTGGGACACTGTTCTCATGCATTTATGTACTTTTTTTTGTAAGCACGTGTCCCCTCTGCTCCCCCCCCGGAGCTACGCCGCTGCAGTAGGTCGTTGGAGACGACGAAGTATGACTCGTAAGCAGCTAGAATTGCAGCTGTAGGCTCACTTATGTGCCGAGAAATCCCCTCAGGTATGGTTTCTGTTCATCTAAATAACAGAATCTGCGTTGAGATTCTTCCATCCTACTTCACATGAGAGAATAATTAATAAATTAATGATACCGCAACACAAAGTTGATGCACTCTCAATTTTACCAAGGCCGAATACTACACTGTCAAGCATAACCTGCAAAGCTCGAGATGCTAATTGCATGCTTTTTTTTTTTTCAAAGTCAATGTCACTCATTTTTCATAGTTGTACGAGTTTGATTGTTTCCCCTAATCGGTCACGCAGGATTAAATCTTGATAGATGTTTCCGGCCTTCAAAATGCAAAACTATGAGGGGCTTGTTTCACATGGGTAGTGTATGATTGTAATCTATTATGGAATTGAAATCCAGAACTAATATCCCCCATTCTTCTGGTGTCTATCCAGGCAGCTCATGCTGTGATTCAGCAGCAGGAAACGGGACGACCTGTGTTCAAGGTGAAGAGCGTCGGACTGAACACCCTCTGCAAGTTATACGATGCCCCCATGAATCCCCGGAAGGAGCAGCTCAAGTCCCTTTACAGACGAGACCAGAGGTACTGGGCCAGGAGGCCACTAAGCGATGACATGCTCATGTATGCTGCCTTTGATGTTTTGGCTCTTGTTCCTCTCGTCTACACCAAGATGAACCAGTGAGTTCTACGATGCGACATTGGAGGGTTTCTCAATGGGCATGCAAGCTGTCAGAGTGAGAATGTAATGCTTCCCTCAGGTTGTTATGGGAGGATTCCATGGAGCTGTTCATGGATCTGTGCCAAGAGCAGGTTGAGCATTTCATCAGCAAGGAAGATGTGAAAGTGAAGAAGAAGCAGAGGAAGATCGAGGTGGAGGTGGCAGAACTGAAGGAGAAGCTCGCGTCCGTGCCCGAGGGCAAGACCGTCGTGCTCAGCAATCGGGAGATTCGCTTATTGAGGTAGCCCATCTTGCATGCAACGTGCATGAGGTCCATCCGTCATCCGTTGTGCAATGCATGTCTCTTTGAGTTCCTCCATGCATCATCATCATGAGGTGTTAACTGACAAATGCAGGTACATTGAATTGAGTGACTCTGAGCGCGAGAAGTTGGAGGGATCTCAGAAGGTGCTCAAGAAGTTGGAACGGCTGCAAGGGAAGAACGAAAGGTGAGCCCAGTCACCTTTCTTGACGTTTGCACAAAGAGAAGAAAGTTCACCTCTTGGGTTTGGACCTGTACCATATGGGTACTGGTGCAAATTAGCTTTTGCAATTTGCACCAAATTGTGACTAAAGTTCACTTCTGGTGACTCTTCAGTTGCCAATTCAGTAGTTGATTTTCTTTCTTAAGTTGGAGAATTTTCAGTGCCAGCATAGTGTGCGCTTTACCTTGACATTCTCTGTATAGTGTGCACTCAACCTTCCCAATGTGCTTTGTAGGGGTTTCACTAAACTGCATAAGAACTAACTATAAACACATACCAAGGGAGTTGCATTCCTTCTATGTTGGGCTGAAAAAGTGAGAAAGTCAACCTATTTTGGAGAATGATGGGTCAGTTGGGTTAGAAAATAATCACGCCTTTGGCCACAACCTTTTTCTAACCCAACTGACCCATCATCCTCCAAAGTAGGTTGACTTTCTCACTCTTTGGCCTTTGACACTGAACCTGGGAGAAAATAAATGGGGGTCTACCAATTGTGCCAGTGCAATGATGGGTCTCGTAGGGATGAGGAAGACTGGACCGGAAGGGCATAGGAACATGTTCCATGAAAAATATAAATATATATCCATTTATCTTTGTATGTATGATATTAACACTTATTTGCTCCCAAAGGCATGGTAACAGATTCTAAAGTTAATCCCTTTTTGATTCACCTCCTAGGCAAGCAAGGTTTTGCTCGCTTGCCTGGGAGGTAGAACATGCCTTACGGTAGAGTACATGCTATACTGGCACCAGATATTCTTTTTACCTGATTCCAATAGCTAGCAGTTCATAAAACATTGAGCATGTGTCATGATTTGATCTGCAGTGAATTTTAAACCATCATGCTAATTGGTTGGCAATGCAAGCTGGGCTTGGCAGATAAAATGCCTCTGAATAACTTAGTTACCATGAAGTTCAACCAGAAAAATGTAGTGGCCACTAAATTTTTCAAAGTGATACACTCATGATGGCTCATGAGCCACTGGGTACTTATCTTGCTTGGATTGAACCTATACCTGAGTGAAACCTGTAGGGAAGTGTGGAGTCCAGAAGATGGTTTAGAAGAAGAATTCCCAAGTCTTGACAGTGCTTGCACAGAAAGCACTTCTCCAGACTCTTCCCTTGCTAGCTCAACAGGTCAGATAGTCTGTACAAAAACTAGCCCTTTGTTGTGGTTTGACTCTTCTTTTAGCTTTTGGATCTGATACTCATACAGGTGGTGTTCTTTCTCCTACTCACATGGAATCTGGAAGTTTGACAGAATCCATGCAACTGGTTGATCAGATTCTGTCAAATGGAAAAATACCTCGATTCGACAAGATCGACCGAATTGAAGCCATTCTTGCTGCAGCCACTGCTGGAACTCAACTGTCTTTTTCAAGATCTGATGCTTCCACTCAAACTGGAACTCCCTTTCAGAATGGCATATCAGGCCATCAGACACGTAACACTGAGTGTCAGACCCTCTCAACTGGCGATATTGTAATCACAAAGGTCTTTCTGCCTGACAAGGAAGCTCCCTCTTCCCCCAAGAAATAATTCTGATTCCCAGAACATTATTTTTGTATTCAGCCTTTTTTTTTGGCATTGTATCCCAATGGGTTTTTTTTTTTTGCATGGGTTTAATGTCTTTTATCCTCTTCAGATAGTCCTATTTTTCCTGTATTGATGAGTTAGAGTGTGCTCAGCAGTGAAGATGACTATAGATGCCATTATATATGTTTATATTGTGTTCTTGATTGCCATGGGATGTTTCACAGCCTTGGCGGCTTATTAATGCCAAGGTCATAGGTTGAAGCCCCGATTCTTGAGTTTTTCCTCTCTCCCCCTTCCTCTGAGAAGTGAGAGCAGAGATCCTTCTCCTTTTCCCCATTGGATCCAGGGAGCCAGGCATGCTTCCAACCTGTGATGGACCTGTGCAAAGGCAGCTAACCTTAGAGGTCATACTGTAGATGAATTGATGAGTCATTGGACCAAAGATGGCTTGGAGGCGTCAAAGGACGAGTCATTGTGCACTGTGTCCCCTTTGCTGCGACTTGCAAAGGGTTTGTACATTAGTGCTATCCTGCTTCTTCCTATAGCATTCTATTTACCCCCCTTCCCATTGGTGATTTAATCCTCATAACTTGACAATCATATCTGTGCTTATGTCTAAGTTGTGCAGGGTTTGTGGGAAGTTCTGGAAAGTCTAATTTTTGGTGAGACGGATTTGTTTATTTATGAGGTGTGAAAATATTTTTCCCTGCCCCATGCCTATGCAAAAAATGTTCATTTGCATGTTACGTCATGCTTTTTTCTTCTTGCAGCAACAAGTGCTCGTCTCATACCACCAATGCCGTCTTCCCATAAAAACTATCATGCCTTCAAGAACGACTCTTTGCTACAGTCTTCTCAGCTGTAGTATTTATTGGTAGGAATTACGATGCAATGCATTTTGCCATATCTATGTACAAAAAGATTTTTGGTTCCTCCCAGTGATGAATGAATAAAGTATGGTAACATGAAAGATTTACATCTCCCCACAATGCATTCAGATTGCTTGAGATGGGAAACCTATTCCAATGCAAGTCTCCACAGGACTTGTGACTCTCATCCAGAGGAGTCAGGAACAGGGACACCTGAAGTCTATGAACTATGCTGTCATCTCAAGCCCATCCACATGTTTTGAAATGTTCCATGAAGCCTCAGATCAGATCTTTAGATTTCTCAATTCCAGAGGATGGTGTTTTCCCCTTGATATGATTCTGAGCTGAAGTGTGAAGTGAATCTGGAGAGAGTGTATCCATTTTCTGTTGGTATGCAGAGTTTCTCTGTTGGGTGTCAGCAAGAACATCGGTCCTTATGAAAAGTGTAATCCGAGAGAACCTTGAAATTACCAGATCTCCTTTCCCTCATCAGAGGGAATATCCACCACAAGCTTCATTTAGCCCAAACATGACACTTGAGCAAGCAACTTGTGAAGGTTTGTTTATTAGCCTATATCTCTATTAATTTGTGTGAAAGTGTGATGAACCTGCTCTTCATTTTCAGATTTGAAGGCCTTCGAGAGAAGGCTGACAGAAGTCATTGCTTGCATGCAACCAGCAGCAATGAGATGGAGAAGTGAGTGAATTTGTTGCATTTTTGGAAATTGCAGTAAATATTCATAAGACTAAAACAAACCCATCCATTCCTCAGTTGTGTTGGCCATCATTCTATCATGCCTGGTTTGGGGAGCATGGTGGTGGTTGACAGACCCCAAAAGCATTGAACTTGGATTCTGGGAATCCCTTAGGCATCACCTCTTCTTCACCTCAGCTTGCATAGTCACATGTAAGTTTATGATTCCTAGATACTATTTCACTAATTTTCAGCGTGAACTGATGATTCATGCAATTTTTCCCATCTAGTGATACTCTTTCTCATGGGGATTCATAAACGAGTTGTTGCACCATCACTCATCTGCAATCGTATTCGACAAGTGCTGGAAGATTTCAACATGCATTGTGATGACAATGGAAAGTTGATCTTGAAGCCCCGTCCAGTGCCGTTTGGACCGTTAAGGTAACAGGAAAAGAAACAAACAAGTGACTCTCTTACCATACCTGTGCCCAAACGTGCAAATGGTGCTAGTCTTCGACTGTTGAGTTGCCAGGTGCAAGACAATAATTGGATGCGATCTCGAGGCTCCTCAAGCTCAAAGCTTTTTTGGCTTTTATGTACCTGTAGTTGATTTCTGACATTGATTTTATTCCAGCTCATGCAAGAATTGGCTGCTGTATGGTGTGTTGCCATGCATTTTATGCAGCAGGAAGCTGATCCATGGCACAAACCTTTTTTTTTGTTGAATTGTATAGATATTTTGATTGCCAGCTGGAATGAATCAGTTATTTTTTGTTGACTGATGGGCTGACTTGCACTCATGAAGTGCATCACCTAACATTCTCTTAATTTGACATTGGCTTGGCATGCATTTCTTGGTCCTTCCAAATAAGAAAGTCCATAAGGAGACCAGGGAGTCAGTGTAACCTTGACTGCATTAACCATTTGATTGAGTGGAAGAATTCTTGAACATGCTAGAAAAAGCATGTTCAATAGCAATATATCCTCTCTTGTCCACCTGGCAGTGCATACTTGAGGGTGCCAATTTCAGTGAGACATATCCTGGTATGAAGTTTTAATTACATGAAAGGGTCTGAATTTGAATTCAACCACTTTCAATTTATTTTCAGCCAAATAAATATTCTTTGCCTCAATGGCAACAGAAAAAAAAGATCCCAAGAAAGGCAGGGAAGCATCCAAGAACCACCACAGGAGGATCATGTCACACCCAACTTTTAAGATGAGATCTAGGGTAGGAATAGAAGATGCCACACCCGTGCTCACCAACACTTTTGGAAGTTCCTGAAAAAATGCAGGATCAGGATGATGATGACTCATGATTTACTGTGAAAGGGTGTGCGCTATTATCACATTCTCACAGGTGTGACACACAAGTTGGGCTATGTGGTACAGTCATCATAATTCTTCCCTCAAGTATTTTGGCTTCAGTTCCTCAATACGCTTGATGTATTCTGCCTTCTCGACACATCCATCACAGTCTTCATCCCAGTCACTGAGGATCTTTCTCAGATCACGCACCTTCAACTTCTTCAAATCCACTGTCTTCAGGTCGATCTGCTTCTCTGTGGAAAGAAATTACATACTGACAGGTTGCACCACATAATAGGGTCAATATTTCTCAGCAATGACAAGCTGTGTATCCTGATGAATGAACATTGAATTGTTGTAAACTTCCTTTTCTCTGAAATTTTATACATCAGTATGATTACATTTTTTAAATTTCTTCTTGGAAAATCTGGGATAGATTCATTTGCCCTTGAAGTTCAGACTTTGAAAAGTTTTAAATGAAGGAATAAAGAAAATTGTGTGCAGATGATGGAAAAAACTTGTCTCTGTGAAACATGACAGTGTTGTCAATGATCATGTTGAACTTATACTTGACCAGCACCTATTACTTCACTCCTCTTTAGTTCCATTAATAAAATATAAGCCATAATTGATCCCTTAATTTAAGTCAGGAAAAAATTTAATAGAATTAAATATAAAGCTGAAACTTTCAAACTGTATAAAAGGAATACCTATCAATGCACTAATATTACAGTGCTGCTCCTGGAAAGATGAAAGAGCTGTGCTGCAACAACCAGAACTATTTGAACACATCTTGTGAATTTCCAGAATACAATCTTGCCAAAATATGGCTTTCATCTGCACCAAAGTCAGTCCTGTTATTGACTGTATTCCACAAATGTGTGATAAACTTATATTAATTTGGGTCATGTTTTAAAACAAAGTTAAGCACAAGGCCAATAGAAAAATAAAGGGTGAAACCTGGTCTACTTCAACCAACCCATAAACAAAACGGGAAAGTCTCATGTCAGCCAAGAGGGGCAATTTCAAATGAACTCAACAATGAAGCAAGTTACTTTTTTTACTTTTAAATCAGCCAGTTTTTTTTTTCCAATGGAAAAAAAGGCTCTGATCATGCTCATTTCAATTCCAGTTTTCACACTATACTAGGTCCATGATTTAAAAGGGCTCACTGACAGACAGTAAGTACATCTTTCTCCATATGTATGATGTTAGATGAGAGTATAGGTGTATCTATGTTATCCATTAGAACCTTAACACATGGTGTAAAAACTTAATTGCAAATCCATGCAGAGCAATTAACATGCTTTTCTTCCTAGTCCAGTACCAGAATTCACTTTTCCTCATCTCACTTTATACTTTGCTCCTGATGTCATAGTCAAATTTGACATTTCTTGTATTTATATTTCACATTGAACTTGGAAAACTTATATTAATAACCCTCCATTGAGAGAAGACTCCTCTTCCTTCCAAACTTCTTTTCTCAAGGAGCTGTTATGAGCTTCATTCAAATTTATTCTGAGATGAGTCGCCTACCATAGCTTAAAAATACAGCTTACCATATCTGAGGTCACAAATCTGTCCATCCTTCTTCTTCAGTCTTTCACAGATTTTGTCTGTGGGCAGAGAGGAAATGAGTGGCTTAGACAGTTCTCCCAGGATCCCAGTAGCTGACTCTTCCAGCCCTCCCATATAGTAGCACTGATGGGGGAGAAACCAATTCAGGCATACATGGGCAAGCCAAAAAATGCTAATCCTCAGTCAGGGAAAGGAAAAGGAGACAAAGACCAGCCAAAAGAAGATATTAAGTGCAATTGTATTAAAAAAAAAAAAAACAAAGAAAGGCAAAGGAAATTTAAATGTTGGTTCTCTTGAAACTTCTTCAGATAAAGCCCAAGTAGTCCCAATAGAACAAAAAGCTATGTTTTAAAAGTTCTTTTTTCAAGATACCATTCATACATCAATATATATGCATTTCATTTAGCAGTGGAGCTTTCACCAACTTATTAGCATTAAAAAGTCCCTTCATCAACAATTACTATTAAAAAATATGTTACACTTGATTTTATAATAACATGGCTGGTGTTAATAGACCAAGGGCTAAGTCAGTCTTGAAAGATAGGTTCACAAATACAGTCCAAATGCCTAGCTTAGGCCTACACCAAGTCATCTTGAACCACTGTAAGCCTAGCCAACATCAACAAGATCTGATCACTCACAAATTTGTGGTCTTTTCCCTTGGAATCTTCACACCAAGCTCTAAACTTGTTATCCACCTTGAATCTGTCCTTCAAATCAGACTCTGATAGTGATGCTCGGAAAGTGTCAACCACCTTGAAGCAAACTGAAAGTAGAACATATGGGTCTAAGTTATCACTATGCCCATTAATTTAGGGCATCATATTTTTAAGGTAAGGTCCTATCCTCATAGGCATAGATGGTAACAAAACTGACTACTACATCCAAGATCAGTACCTTCAGCATCCTTGGCAATCACTTTATGCCATCCTATCTCAGAGTGTTTTCATTAGCTTTTTGTGGTTACACCAAACCAGAAACTAATTTGTTACATGCAGCCAGAGGCCACAACCCACAAGCATCACACTGGAAGTGACAAATAGACAGAGAAAACTGCATTTATTTTATATTTTGCTGCAAATAATGACTCATCATTTCCCAAACAGCTCAGGGTTCTCACTCTTTGGCCATGGGCTCTATTCAAATGAAAGCAGAACAAAAGAAAAAAGAAACAGAGGGCACCAAAAAAGTGCACCAGGATGCCTGCAGTGAGCAATGCTTGCTAAGGCAATGATGGAGAAAGCAAGCATACAAAAGACAACAAAAATGAAATATACTTGATCTCTGTGTTCTGCATGCTGCTCTCCCTTAGGGTGCTAAAGACTCCAAGATTACTCAGAATGTTGCCATTGTCTATTTGAATAGTGAGCCTGAGGCTAAAAATACCACAGCCATGAAGTTTGGCCTAGGTTTAACTTAAGGATATTCATTAATTAAAATTACTACGGACTTACGCTAATACACTCAAATCGGACATGTTTTCACTTGACCCAAATACCAATGCATGGGCATGTATTCCTAAAAAATACCGACTCATGTGTAAACACTATTATCTCAAGGGCCTTTTCCAGCCAAGCTATGCCTGTAAATATAACCTGAACAATTCAATGAGGCACAAACCTTCACAATCGTCAGCTTTCAATGCAGAAGAAAGCACTGGAAGCAGTATGACCAGTAGAAACATCTCCCCAAAGCCCAAATTCATCCCGAACCGGCAATTCCTTGAAGGTTGTCCGTAGGCAAGCAGCATTTTGGTCTAGATTGTTCAATCAGTTCACAGAAATGCCAATTACGAAATGACGCGTTTCTATGAGGGATCGAACTGTAGCGTTTCGCACAGCAACAGACCAACTCCACCCTAACACTGATTCGACGAGGATTAAAAGTTCCGGGAGGCGATTCGAGAAAGCTTCTCCTGGCGGTCCACGTTGCTGTGGAGCATGAAGATGACGTCATGGGTACCTGGCGCAGTGTGATTGGCTAGAGCCATTGTCGTTGTCATCGTCTGCTTGAGGCACGTAAACGAGACCGACACGCATCTGCGCATGTCGTCGGTCAGCGACCTGGCGTCTGTATGGTAAGTCACCCTTCTGCCAAATCTCAGGATGGACTCAGCCCCAGGTGAGAATGACTAATTGCTGCAGTCGTGCAATGCCTAAGCGACATGTTTTGTTCGTGCGGGACGTGACATATTTGCGATTTGGGCCATGAAGTACGAAACTGAGTCGAGAGTGAAACTCATTTGTAGCCTAATTCTGCATTCCTCAAAATTGTCTTCATTTCTGTGCCTAGGTTCGTATCTTTGGGCTTACCCACCTAACATTACGGCAGGGAACATGTTTATATGTCTGCTTCTTCAACCTCTGAAAGTTTTGCGTTCTGAAAGTTGTGTCTCGAATGATAAACTTGAGCAGGGGCGCAACCAAGGGGGGTCGGGGGGGGTCTGACCCCCCCCCCCCCCCCCAACCCCTGCTCATTATGGTATCTCTCTACTTCTCCATCCCCCGAGGATGGGGGACACAGAAAGATATCACAAGCAAACGACCTGAGAGCGAGGCTGGAAAGGCACAAAGATAGGCGGTTAAACGTGAAGGTCACGCCAGTTACATGTAGCAACTCACTTTAGTAAAGGGAGCCCATCAAGGAAACGTCCTGCACACGAGCCGCTGCTAGATTTTTTTCTGAAAACGAAAGGACGACAATTCAAATAAAAGGCGTGAATCGTACAGGTTAATGAATTTCCAGTCGCTCAGTGATATTTAGGCTGAATCCCGAAAGTAATTTAGTTAATTTTAAGCTTTTTCAGATATCGAATGTGCTTTCATCATTTTGTGTCCAAATTCCGTTTCCACTTTTTCATGAAGTTTTACTTCGTTTCATTTTCTTCGTTCACGTGTTCGCACCGTTTCGCGTTTTTTGTCGAGTATATCTCTCCCGATGATTTGATAACACCTTGCATTCGGAGAAATTGGAAAGACAGGTCATGTGAACTTCGAACCCCCCCCCCCCCAAACTTTAGAGCTGGTTGCGTCACTGAACTTGAGTGATTCATGGAGTCAACTCCACGAAATCTGACCTTGTAAGCATGGAGAGCCTATTGTTATCCGCTATCGGAACATTGACAGGTTGCCGCAGAAAGCTGTCACGCTACCTGTCGATCTGATCAAAGCCTGAATTGAAGCCGACAATTTATTATTAAAGAAAAGTCAACGCATCCAGTCACAATAGTCGATGTATAGCTTCTCCAGTGACAGATTTGAACGAACGGAACGAACGTGGCCGGAAGGTAGGCCTATGTCGCTGTTGTGCAAGCCACCGTCCAGACTTTCTAGCGTCTTTATCTGGATGAAGCAGTCGTTAGTACAAAAAAAAGCATGTGTTATGATAGCATATATGATTCATTGTGAAGGTAAAGTGGTATGAGGAGCAGACGTCGAAGAAATAGGGGGATATCAGGCGAGTCTTGTTCAAAAATAATATATCTGCAGGAAATGAAGAAAGGGTTGAACAAGGGAAAATCAATGTAAATTCGTCAAAAAAGAATTTTGAAAGAGAAAGAATTATTTCTTACTTAAGCTCACCCTATCTACGGGTGGTGCTTGATAAATCTGCGAATTCACTTTTTTGCGATTAAGAGGCGGTCAGTCTAACAGAAATCAAATTCCACTCCTTGTTTGCATTCTCTGGACTAGGGAAAACCAGTCGTGGCAGATCTGTTTGTATTGCACAATATAGCCTGAGACATATGGCGACGACACATGTCTCGCCAACAGTTTTTTTCTCAGTCGCATTGCAGGCCACCGTGTTTATAGGACACTCAGGGGCCACCACGCCAACACCCAAGACCAACAGACCAACCACAAATTGTTCTCACTAGCCCAATTGCGCCTACGGTTGTAGCAGAGACTCTCCACTCGAATCCAATTCATTGACAGGGTCGTCATACGTTGAATTTGTCACCGTTGATCCTTCACATACCCGTCAATAACTCCTCCATGGCCAAGCAGCGGATTCAACGAGACACTTGTATTCCGTTAAGGGACTTCCTATGGGTCGAATCCCCGAATGAGTCGAATCCTGATTCCATCGCTACAAAACATGTCTCATGGAACTGTTGCTGATAGCGGGCAACCAAATGTCTCTATAATATATTGATCCCCACCTCGCCGATTATCACCTCAAGTCGTACTCTCTATTCTCTAGTTGTCGTTTACGTGCCTGGAAGAGAGGGGGTGGTTCCAGCTCCCGAACCCCCCCCCCCCCCCCCCCCCCCCTTCTTGATTGCGTCATTGCATGGGCTTCGAGCCTCATACGCCTGATCGCTGGTCGTCTACCTTGTATCTTGGTTACTGATAATGATTTTTCCTTCTCGGAAAGAAGGATGTAACATAAAAAGAATCCCATTGAGCCAATTGATTGGGCGCATGCACCTGGATGCTCCGCAGCGAAGAGCGAGTCTTTGTCAGCCCAGCAACTGTCAGCTCTCGCTCGCTCTCTCACACTCTCTCTCTATTTCTTTGCTCTAGCTCTGCCCGGGGCTTCCTCATGAGATTTGTCTATGATTGAGAGTCGACCACAGCAGCATGCGCCAAAATAATAACTCAGAAAATACATATTATATCAATTTAAATTAAAAGTACAAGTACGTTCGACCGCAAGTTGAGATCCTTCGTGACCGCCCCCACCCCCATCCCCCACCCCCCATGGCCAAGTTCGCATTTTACAGGCTATATGAAAAGTCACTGACTATCTTCTAGAATAAATAATGAACTATAGAAGTTGTCAGGATTGCTTCATGTAAGATTTAAAATATAACCCTTTGGGTTACATTTCATCGAAAAATAACGAGAGTCCTACACTTAACAATATTCAATATGACGCCTCCTTTAGCCGATGCATTTTTTAATCCTCAGCAAGCCTTAATCAATGCTGAACCTGGAAACTTTTCCATTGAAGTTACTTCTTTATAAGAAACTCTACTTTTTACTGCATCCAATAATGGCGGCGTTGCCTAAGAGAAATCATACCCGTACAGACGATGGGAAACATCCGATTGTCAAATCCTATTTGGAATTTTCCAGCTGATTTAAATTTTTTTAAAGCTGTTTTCAGCTGGGGTTTTACACGCAGGATCCTCCAGATGCTCCCATAGCCGGAATCCAGCAAAAAAAAAAGCTTTTAATAAAGCCATTCACAATAAATCTGGGAAATTCCAGCTGAGAATCGACCCGGATCATACTTTATTTTCCAGATGTTTCCCAGCTGGAATGGATATTACATTACAGTTGTGGTCCCTCTGGGATTTTAAGCTGGGATAAAAACTGATTTTTGCTCTATCTGATAGTACTTTTCAAAGGCTTTCCAACTACAGGGTGATTTTTAAAACAGTTCCTAGTTTCCTGCTCGCATAACTTTTATTATAATGACATTGCAATAGCCAAATTTGCACAGAAAATATGGAAGACATGGGAAATTCGGGTGGGCTCATTGATCAGAGCATGACATGTCAGATGTGAATTTTCATTAATCATACGGCGCCAAACGAAGAGAATAATTGGGAATAACAAGGGAAGACGGCCTCAGTGCGAACGGAAAACGTTTCTCCGCGTTAATTTCCGTTGCCCGTTGGTGGATCGGGATTTTGTATGGATATGCAGAAATACTGGTATAGAAAATCGTCCCTGTTGCTGAATAAGAAATATGAAGTTGTTGTGAAGCTCGTCGGACGCTCTTTCTGGGATTGCAGATTAACATTTGTCGGGCGAGAGCGACATTTTGCGGGTTACGCGCGCTGTGAGATGTTCGGAATGGCCCTTTCGACGGTCCCTGGCATCGCCTTTCGATTGAAACTGCTTAAGAGATCTGGTATTAGTCCTACTGGTTGGTACATTCCTGGTCTGAAAGTGCCGTTGATACTGTCTTTGCACGCTTCCAGGCGATTCGTTAAGCTTGAAGTACCATTTCACAAGGAACAGTTTCTACTCCTCTGTGAAAGACGCCATATTGCTTCGGCGCTGCCACCTTGAATATATTTCCATGATTCATCCATTTTTTGTGCCCACTCGAATCTCCCATGCCTTCTTCATATACTGTGCAAATTTGTTCACTGAAATGATATTGCAAAAAAAGTTATGTGGATTGCAAACTAGGAACTGTTTTAAAATCATCCTGTGTTTGAGTATGAAGGTGTTCTTTGCCTTAGACATTTTTATTTATTTCTTTTTAGTCATTCCACCTCAAGTGTAGCGATAGTCTGTACTCAACAATGTTAGAAATAAATTAAAGCAAACATTCGGAAGGTATAAGTCAAGAATATCATGTAACCAGAATCCTAGTCATCTACATCAAGCTGGAACCGAGATAAGGGGTTTTGAAATTTCCCCCAGAGAGTAGGGGGAAAAAAATGGTCTTGAGAAGCTAACACCCTTGCCTTTTTCCTGAAGGTGACTCAAATTGAAAGAAACAGATGCCAAAATATGATAACAAATAATGCTTGGTAAGTGAAAATTTTGTCAGAAGTTATGAAAATTTCAAAACTTTCTTAAGGTTCAATCCCAAAAACTTGTAACTTGCAAGCAAAAGTGTATCGTACCAAATGTTACTTCAGGTTTTCCTTCCAATCGCTTAATTTGATTTCTCCTTCAAGTCGAGATTGATCATGTCGTTTTTTCGGCAGACGAATGCCGAAATAAAAACTAGTTCCTTTTTCAGCTTTAATATGAGTCCTAAATTCGGCTCATGTGTAATGTGGAGATTTAAGATGCTTGCTGTTCGCTATTCCTATTGTTGTCCTTCTACCTGCCAAACTTAATTGGCTCGAGAGATGGTTGAGTACAACCATAAGCACACTTGAGCTTGTTTGACGCTTTATTAGCATGCCTAAAACTTGAGCTAACTCAAATAAGCATAAAACTAAGCTCTGACGGATGTTTCATCGCTGGAAAATGTCCCATATCTTGTTCGGGAAGCGGCTATTCTGCCCTGTTTCTAAAGCAATCACACCTTTTCATTATATTTGTACGAAGAGCTGTCAATAATTTTCCTGACTTATTTTATTGCTCGTACAGGCTCAGAGATTTAAGCTGTTCCCTCTTCAGAGTGCTTGATCCACTGCTTGATCACATCATTGCCAACGTTTTTGCAACCGTTCTTTGCAGTCTCCTGCTGTAGTCAGGTCATGATCGTTCCAATCATTGCGAGTTTGGCAAGATGACGTTCATTTCTTTCACGACGTCGATTCGACGGGAAAAAAATCGCAAGGCGGAAGAATTCAGGCGAATATGGTGGATGAAGCACCGCCTCGATATTGTTTCGCGAGGAACGAGCTCACCAGGAGACATGCGTGTGCCGTTACGTTCTCCGGACGGCGACATCGAATAGTCAGGCAAACACCGCAGCAGGCCAGCGTTAAACACAAGAGTGACTGTTTGACCTTGAGGTATCTACTCGTGACGCCAATCTCTCCATGATCGACGAGCATAATCAATATGGCTTTCTCATTGTCGCAACATCGTGGTACAGTTCCTTTCGGCATATGTCTGGATATCGCGATGTTATTGTTCAGCTTCACGCCCTTCATGTCCTTCCTGAATACTCCGATATGCTCACATGCCTGATAACAAGCAGGAAAAGCTGGCTTGTTATAGAAGGAAATTCAGACATGAAAGCTCTTTTCACTTCACCCCTTTTCCCAAATTGCTAGGCCTACGTAGGAGAGACATGAAGGAAAAGCGGAGAAGGTTTTGTCACAGTGGGACATCCCGAGCCATAAAGCCTCTTGATACGCCACAAGAAAGCCATGACAGGCATCTCCAAGTGGCACTCCCCTCTGCTGCTAATATGAGGCTGCCATTACAGAAAGGGGAGAAATGTGTCAGGTATCACCTTTCCTCCATGGCATCACCGAGTGATTCCTTCTAACAAACCCCTAGTCTCAGGCCTTTTCCCTGGAAAATGATGGAAGTCTCTCTATGAGAAACTCTCAAGGTCTCTCTCAAGGCCCTCATCACAAGCAAAAAATTTCAATATTCTTTTCACAGAATGTGGACTCACTTTATAGCATGTGTCGATTCCTATCAGCATTCTGAGGTTTTATTCCACCGTGTATCCAATTCCCTGGTCTACTGACCGATTATATCGCGATGTCGATCCCTTTGAAACCTAAATCGCACAGCCCTACTTTCCCACGTAACCTATTCAGTTTTGGTGATGTTGACAATTTCAAAGCTGAACCTAACTGCGTTGTTTCTGGGTCAGACACCCAGGACCTTTCTTCCTGAGTCATCTCCTGTTACCAGTTTGTTAGGAAAGTTGTAAAGAATGTTCGGGTACTCCGCCGCACAATGTTGACGCCCCGCGCACATCAACAGAGTCTTTTTTTTTTGTCTGGTGTGAGTGAGCTATTTCGGTACAAAAAAAAAGAGCTGGCAGCTGTCGCATGTTAAAGTGCTCTGTTAAAATGGAATGACACGTCACGCGTGGTATCCCTTAACGACTAACAGGGGTAGCAAAGGACCGACACGGTTATCTTGCATAAATGTTAGCGTCTTGTCCATATTTTTGACAGTTTTGTTGCTCATCGGTTGGTCTGTCGCCTCAAGTGATTCCTGTCCGCTTTTGGAACGAGTGAACCGCTTGTAAATAGTTTATCTCTGTGATCACTGGGCGTCGCACAATTGCTCCAGAGGCTTTTCGGTTTCTGTGAACGTTTCTCTCAAATTGACATGAAACTCGATGCTTGCCTGTATTTCCAAACACGCCATTGTGACAGGCGCTCTGCACACTCGATTCAGGACCATGTGCCCATGTCCCGGACGCAAAACCTAAGCGAGAGCGTGGGGCATTGCAGTGTTGCTTGATGGTATGCTCATGACCAGGATCATAGCCATGATTTCGCCGATGAGGGGGGGGGGGGGGGGGGGGGGGGGGGGTGTGCGGGGGTGTGGGGGGGGGGGGGGGGGGGGGGGGGGGGACGGATGCATTAAGACCAGAGTTACGGGGGGTGAAGCCACCCCTAGCCCTAACCCCCCCACGCTGCGACATTGCTCACTACATGCATTGAACGCAGTTGATTAGTTTGGTTATAAAATAAGTTCGGAAAAAATTTTTGTCAGGCCAATAGAGCCCTATTTTGTGGATTGATGGATTTGTGACTCCCTTGTGGCACATGATCCGAAACAGAGGTCTGTGTCGTGAAACATTCATGAGCACATCCTCTTATCCGAGAAGCTAAGAATACTAAACAGAGCCAGGGAGTTCTCTTCTGGGATGTGATGTTTTCTCAATGACGTTCTGTTGGTACGATACAATGTATCCTCAACACTGCTTTGCGTGACATACTGGCATTTTCTCGCGTGGTCATTTCAAATGAGCAATGAAATTTGGAATGGTGTCCAGTGGAACTTCTTTATTCTCGAAGTGAAAGAGGAATCTTGCAGTGGCCTATGCACAGAGACAACTTTTCAAGAATTCCTCACCGCATTCAAACCAGAGATTCTTGACTCTTTGGTAGCCTCAATTTTGGTTCCATGTGTGATGTTATCAGCCTGCTTGGGGTTCTTGAGTAAGGAAATCTTTTTTTCCCAGCACACATGCGCCATGAATTCCCTCCAAGGGGCTGACCTCACGTCCAAAATATCACAGTCAAAACGAGGGCGAGATGATCAAAAATCTCAGGTTTCATGCTTGGCTGCTGCAGGGGAACCTTCACCTGGTATGACCCTGGAACTACGTTAATGCGACACACTATCATGCCCTGAATGAAAAGAACGAAGTTGCAAACATTCTTCCACTTCATGGTGAAAAGCAAAGAAAAAAAAACCTGGCCCGTGAAAACACCATTCACTGTGGAATGTTCAAGAGACGAAAATTGCGGCAATGGATGACCATTGGGTTTTCCTTGATTAGGAATGCAATAACAAAAGAAAAAAAGAAAACCAAGGGAATGCTGGAGAAGGTGAATGGGCCATATCCAGTTTCTTCCACACGATGACAGATCATGAGAGTAGAAAGCCCCATTCGTACTTTGGTTATCTATGCATGAACCTGCAGACAATTTTTCCCTAGAGGCAAAAAGAGGGGGCCGAAAGCGAAGCAGTGGAATCCATGTATCCGAAGCCCTCGTTCATTCAAGGGTCTCCTTTCCACGAAGAGGGCGCTCTTCACACGAGATCCGTGAACTGGAGGATTGCCCTCCCGTTCACCTCTGACCTGAGCATTTTCCTGATCACCTCTTGGGCTTTCTCGGCCGGAAACAGTGTGTAAGGAGGTGGCTCGATCTGCAAAAATGTACCTAATTTAGAGCAAATATTCATGGATTCGGCGAGGATGGGAAACTCAGGAGGGAGTCTTTACCTCCTTGTTGGCAACTAGATTGACGAGCTGCTGGAGCTGTTCATAAGTGCCCATCTCCACGGCCTCGATCTTTTGCCGACTGTCCTCGCACTGTCTCTGGAATTTCTTGATTAAGAAGTCGCTGGCATCCGAACCGATGAATACGATCCCGCCCTGCAAAGGAATGCATCGATAATGAAAGGGTGACGTGGGTATATGAGGATGGAAGTCTCCAGTCTCTTTAGTTCACTGGCCTCTTGCATCAATAGATGAGGAAACCCTCTTTTGCCACTGAAGAGAGGCCTATTTTATCATATCCCCTCCATACAATAAGCGGCAAAAAAAATTAATTTTGAAGACGGGGAGCTTGAAAGCTTAAGCTTCTTAAGTAGCCGAGTGCCAAAGGCGTACCCGTGTGAGGCATTGCAGGGAACGGAGAAGACTCCGAGTAGTTGTCCCGAAGTTGATGACAATGTCAACGGGACCCTTGCATGCATCTAGCGTCCTCTCGATCAACGCCTTCTCGTGCAGCTCTTCGTCCCAGTGCACCACGTTGAACCTCATGTGACAAAAAATTCAAACACTCATCCACCATTTCAAGATTTCAAGGCAAGACGGAATATGGAAAAAAGAAAATCTCCTCACTGGTTAGCGTAATCTGCGGCGACGTCTGCGAGGCCTTCATCCTTTAGAGTGGCCACAGTGACCTGGACCTTCTCGTGCTCGTGGCCGAAGTAAAAAATGGCCAAACGAAGAGCCCACAGGGCAAGACCTCCAGTCCCAACCACCAGCACCTTCACCTTGTCTCCTTGTGCCAACAATCAATGGTTCAGCATCAACATCAAATAGATCTGCCTTCAGTTGAGCGACATGGGAGAATAAAGGCGGGACTGACTTTCATGTTCTATCTCGGCGTGGAGGCTGTCTACATGTTTCTTGGCATCGAAGACGGCATTCATGGCCCACAGAGCTCCGGTCGGAAGCATCGATGCCACGGGCAACGGAATCCCCACCGGCAACTTCAGAAGATACTGCGTCTCGGGGATCGAGATGTACTCCGCATACCTATAATTATCAGTGCGGATACACTGCAAAATTCAACGAACAGCATTTTACAGCAAAGCAAGCACGTACAAGTAAAAAGAACGGCGAGAGGTGGAGGTAAACGCAAAATTACCATGACAGTATAACTAATCTAAAACAGAACTAGAAGTGGCTTCATCTCTAGTTTAAAAAAATTAAGCAATCCGCAGAATTTCCACTGCGTACGTCCCAAATTCGGATTAGAAGGTGCATACAGGAATCTGTCTTTCATAACTGTCCATCTGTGTAGTTTTATTTTGGTTCAGAAGCGTAGGAGAGGTTGGCACGTTAAGGACAGCATATAAAATTGACAAACCCGTGCGGGATTCCGTCGTAGGGGTAAACAATAACGCGATCCCCGATTTCGACCTCCCCGTCCTCCTGGACATTTTCCCCGAGGGCATCCACGATCCCTGCAACCTCGTAGCCGGGGAAAAGGGAAGCATCCCGGATCCCTCGGTTCCTGGCAGTCGCTGAGTCGCAGCTGCTGTCTCTTCTCAACGTGGAATCCCGTCTCCTGTAGCACACCCCTGCGCAGACCACCTGTTTCCATGAGACAGGGAACCAAAATTAGAAACGTCAATTCGGGAGGTATTTCCATATGGGGGATTCTTCCTTCAAAACCTTCAAAACGTTTGCGTTAATCAGCATCAAGATCTAAAAGGTAAAGTAATGCATGAAATACTTACATACCATATCGAAACCAAACGTTCAACAGAAACCGTATAAATGAGACTGAAGCTTCGAGGAAATTATCGCCGTCTGGTACGAATGGGAAACCCTTCACAACCAATATCTAATGGAAAAATTTGAGGAATGACCCAAACAGACCTTGATTCTGGCCCCCGACTCAGGCACAGGGGGCATGGGCACTTCGAAAGTGAACACTGTCTCCTTAGTCGCCTTCGAAGGGCTTTCGATGCTCACTTGCTTACATAGGACTCGGTGGTGGTTCTCACCTGGCACCACTCGAGCTCCGGGGCTGCAACCACAACCAGAATGAATGAACGCACTGTTATGAGACTAGTTATTAAATTCCCATCACACCACTGCATGAAGACGCTACCTGGCCTTCATTATGGAGCGCGAAGCCTCAGGAGCCTTCACCATTTCCCCTCGAATGAGTACAGGGGAGGGGCTAAAATAAAAATCACGTTATCACGTAGGCGGATAATGGTAGAGACACAGCGGTACGGAGTCTGAAGACGGCCTTCTATCGAATGAGAGGCAACAGCGCGGGTTATGGGCTTATATAGATTCCAGCGATCACGCTCAGGGCACGAGCCCTTCCACCATCCACTTCCATTCCTTACATGGTTCGGAGTTTGCGCGCTGAAATTGGCGCATCGATTCTGGGGCAGGATCACGAGGGCTCCAGCCCGTCGTCATGCTTCCACTGCGTGATTCTCAGCTGATACAGTCTTCTTTTTTTTTTACCTTTTTCCGTCGCCTTTTCCTCCTTCCCCTTTCTAGCAGAAAATCCATTACGTAATTCCAGAATTCGGTGCCCATCTGGGTTCCCACTGCGAAAATTCCCTTATTCCACTTGGCTTGGGAACTCCTAATGACTCATGACAGTCTGTCATGACTCTCATCGAATCCCCCCGTTGACATGACAAGTCACAGCAGGTACGACCGTTCTCGACGGACTCGAGGATCGCCGTTCTCGAGGTTGTATTCTCTCATGCTAGATAATGAATAGCTGAAAAAATAGCAGACCAGCAACTAGCCAACACAGTTTTCATGACGTTCTGCAGCTCGCAAAGCAATTCTATGACCAGTTGAATAGCTCATCCTGCAATTTGTAATTTTTTTTTTACATTGCCACGATATGTTATTCAAAGGTGACAGCTAAATGCTTCTGAAACAGTTGCTCACGAAAGAATAAATGAAATGTGTTGTCTCTCCTCGACTCTCATAGGTTAAAGTGCGTAGATTTCTCTCAGAACGCAATTAATGAACGCCTTTTAAATTAATTTACTGCTTTGTTTTCCTTGAGAGACCTACTTTGAAGTCTGACAATTACTAAAATGCCAAGGTCTACACGGAGTGCGCGTTAAATTGAAAATATTGCCATCATTCCATTAGAGCTGAAATCCATGAAACGAGATTGTTTACTGGAGCTTTAGATTTCCTGTGAAGATTTCCCTCCAAAGGAGAGATTTCCAGAGAGAATTCCAAGATTTCCAGAGAGAATTCCAAGATTTCCAAAGGAATTTCAATTGCGAAGCTTAAAGCGCTATCCCCCCGCTACGCTGCTTGCTCGGGGATTCCTCCCAAAAATAGTTTTCTTCGTCTCCGATACGCGCCGGTGTTTACAGAAGGAGCTGCGATACACCTCCCAGTCATAAAAAAAGTTGTCTGGTCGCCTTACAGCTTCTCAACTGCGTAAAGGCCGATTTGAGCTGGAGCTTGGCTCTGGTATCCCAAAATACCGCTCATCTCTTGTTCCTTAATATTCATAGTTTCAGTCCCTGACGGTGAATGGAAATGACGATGCTCTTGTATGTGCTCGAAAGCTACGATTCAGGTCAATAACAGGGACAAAAAAATTCCCTGGGGTTTTTCTCTTCAGACCCAGAATTTATGCGCAGTATACACGCGGTGAGCTCTGGCATTTAATTCCTTAAAAATTAAGCATTGTTAACATCATTTATTAGCAGCGAAGACTCCTTGCTTTACTACATGAGCCTCGTAAACAAACCTCTAGATGCAATAGTTGCGAATTAGTAGGTGCTGTTCAATGACAAGTTACAGTTGTGTGATCTGTGCTAAAAAAAAATTATTTCTATCTTTTGGCAAATATCTGTGCAAAACTTAGAACGATGCCGTCAGATAGAACTTCTGGAAATTACTTTTCATCCTTTGGCTGGCCAAAGAATACATATAAAATCTGATGAGAACTCAGAAGAAAAGGGGAATATTTGTCCACCCAAGGAGTTCAAATAGCATCGTTTGGCCAAGAGAGCGAAGAGGAATCACTAAGAGGAATGAGTTCTCGCTGACGTCACAACACGCAGTCTTCATACAACGAGCCATTCCGATCAAGAGACCTTCGCCCTCCAGGCGTCATGCGCAGGGAACTTTAATGACAGGGACCTGGGGCCTCTGGGCTATTCATCATCGACGTTGCGTTGTCTGCCACGAAGACAACGTAGAATGCACCATCGGCGCAGTGAATTTGAGAAACGTCTTACCGTTTCAGACGCTAATCCGTGTGAAAAATTTAACTACATTGCCAATTTGCGCGACTGGCGATCCTGTTGAGGGAAAAAAAAAAAGATACATTATTTTAAAACATTATTTTAAAAAGATACGTTCCCGCACTCGGATATCTGGTCTATTTAGGGTTCGACTGATTCATGCTCTCAAATGGCACGAAATTGCTTTTAAGCTGTACTGTTCATCGCGTTCGCCTTATCCTCTTTCAAAAACATAATAATGATTCAAATGAGAGTCAGCGCCTCTTCCCAAATGAATCATCAGATGACGAAGCCTGGGAATCATAACGGAAGCAACTCTTCGTGAAGGAATAGGATTATCACATTTCCCCCCCACCCCGGTTGCCTGCACGATTCTCGTTTTTACCGAAGACCTACAACTGAAGAGAATTGGCTTCGTCACGTGAGGGAATGAAATCAGGCGATATTTCGCTGCGCAAAGAGATCTACATCTCAATCAGCTTCTGGTACAACTCATTCCGATGCGGCGGAGGTCAATCAGCTGGTAACAGGGCGCCAGTTCTCACAGAAACATGGCGGGATCGGAGACAGAGGAAATCGATACCGCCGCGAGTCCAAACACGAGAAACAGAGCGGCATCTCTCAGAGCAAAGTGCCATTGGATCACTCACCTCGCTTCCTGACTCATGATGAGACACGGGAATAAAGACTTCTTGCCGTGATGATCCCCGTTCACGATCACGATAGCTCGCCCGGGTGTGAGACGGAGGGACTGAGCTACTTTCTCCCACCCTGGCCTACGGCTGGGCAGTCTCGAAATGCGTCCGCATAGATGTCGCTTCTTGCCTCTATTCAAGGACTCTTTCCCCTCCCCTTTCCTCTTCCCTCCCCGCTCCCGCTCTCATTCTTGCGCAGTGTCCCCTTTCCTCTCCGCTCAAGGGAGTTCTCATTCCTGGGCGGTTCACGTCCACCTCGCTCGAGGCGTCAGAAGTCTTGTAGCCGGATGCAGGGCTACGTCATCCCCCTCTCAAGGACGATCGTCTGGGGTGGAGGAGGAAGAGGAAGGGAGACAAGCGAAATCAGAAGGATTTCCTTTAATGATTAAATGGTCGCAATAGGATAGGCCATACCCAGCTACTGGATTCGAGTTTCAAGCCTCTCAATTCCCATCATGAGCCATGAACTCCAATAGTGAAAAAACCGTCCAAATGTGAGGGTTTCTTCCTCTACCAAGATCAACATTAAGTCTCCATAGCAGGCCCTGGCGCCTAGTTCCTTGCCCATATTTCAGGATATTACCATACCATCCCATTTTACTTCCCATGTCGGAGGGGGGGGGGGGGGGGGAAAAATATTCCAAAAAAA